CCCCCTTACCCTCTTTTGATGTTATATTTCTTAGGAATGATTCACATACATACTAGAATTCAACATCTTAAAAAAAGGTGAGGTGAGCATGAATCATGCAAGTGACAATAAGAAGAGCATCCCACATACAAGACACTCATAACAGAGACACCGACAACATGAAATACACTATAGAGTTGATATTTTATATAACATTAATCGGTGTTTTTTTATTATTGAAAAATATTAACAATCCAAAGTATTAACCAAACAAAACCTCCTCAATTGCAAGTTCAATTCCCTGACAGAAATCTAATTCCACCATATTTGGCTCACTTTGTTGATAGAGTCATCAATGTTATGCCGATGTAATGATAATAAGTTTTACTAATATTTTTTTAAGTTATATTTTATTAATTTAGTGATTCTAAAAATTAAAATGCTTATATGATATCATTTTTTTAAGAAGCTATATCTATTTGAGCAGGAAAGGCATGGCTGACGTGCTCAAGAACCAGATCTCATTTGGATGCATTTGTACTAATGCTAACCGAGAAGAGTAACATTTTTTATGACTTGTATAAACCATTTATTTGTGCTTTCAGTATGCATTTAGTAAATATCAAATTGACATCTTAAATTTATATATTTGTCTAATTTAATAAAAAAAATTGTAATTTATTCGGATCTTATTTATTTACAGTGTTGTGGTCAATTAAAAAACTATGAGAAATAAAGCAAAGCATTTGTTTGATATGTAAATAAGGTTGCGGTGGCAAAATGTAAATATGTTATTCTCCCCATCATAGACAAACAACATTGGACATTATTGGTGGCCAAATTATCCAAAAAATGGTTATTTTATGATTCATTGCCTAATCTGATGCACGTAGCAATGACTTCCCAAGCGGTAAATTAAAATTATGATTTACTGAAACATCTTGTATTACACGAATATGAATCTCCGAATCTTGTTAAAATTGACAGACCAGACTTCTGAATCAAGATGTTTGCTAGACCTTCACACTCTCGTCACAAAATGACCTATGGAAGTTGTTAAGAACATCCCTCACCGAAGTTTTGATTGCGGGATGTACATTTATAAATATATAGAGATCATCATTTTCATAACAAAAATAACATTGAGAAACCAAATGCACTAAGATAAAAAAAAATGCCCATATTCAAGGCAACTTTTGTTTACGGGATATACTGTCATACAATCAAATAGTTTTATATGCAACACTCATATATTCAGGTTTTATCGATTTTATGATTTATTATGTTAATGTAATAAATTGTAAATTCGTGTAACAATATTCCTTTAGTCTGTAAGTGTTACACAAATCCCTTAATGAGCACAAGATATATAATTTAGTTTGCCAACACGTTGTTTTGAATTATCAGGTTGTGAATGTAACTCAATACAACTGATACAACATGATTGTACTGGGATAAATTTCATTCAGATACTTATGCATGCCAGACTAAATTTACGTGTGATCTCTTAGGTACAACTATGATGTATGAGTTATATCAAACCTATCAAATTCTATGAACGTGATTAGGCAGCTCAGTACAATCGATACAACATAATTGTATTGAACAAATTTGCTACTCTCTAGATATTAATCCCGTTGTTGATGTTAGTATTAACATTTACCTTTTGATTTACAGCAAGATAAATAAATGATGTAAGTCATTAAAGGGGTAGGTTAGTACAATCGATACAATATGGTTGTACTGAGCTAAACTTCATTATGATATTATACATGTAATAAAAAAATTACATTCGATTTCTTGGGTACAACCGTATTGTATCAGTTGTACTTAAGCTATTAAATTGTATAAGGGTGGCTAGTTAGGTCAGTACAACTGATACAACACGGTTGTACAAAGTAAATTAGCTAGTCTCTAATTATTAATCTCAATGTTTTGTCGGTATTATTATTTACCCTTGGTTTATAGGAATGTAAATAATGA